TATAATTTATTAATGTGTACTTTGACTTTTTAGTTTATCCCATGTCCCATCTACTAACATGGAGTAAGGGGGGATCTGACTTTTGGGGAGCTGTTATGTCGTCCATCTTTAAATACAGGATATGGTTTCAATATAATAACGCAAATATCCCTTAAAGCGACATTTAAAGTGATTAAGAAGTTCTATCTTGTTTCATTTGTAAAACGCAACCTAGTGTAACTGCATCAGCTGAGGGTGGATATTTCTTTCACTCAGCGGGGATGTGTGTTGTCAGGGTTACCTGGAGGAGCTTGTGCGCCTGCGTGAGTCCCAGCTGAAGAACACGGAGTCGGAGAAAAAGAGGCTGAAGACCCGGCTGGAGGAGCTACAGAGCCAGAGCCAACAGGAGAAGAAGGAGCTGGAGGCCATCGTCCTGGAGCTTCAGGAGCAGCTGTGAGTGCAACTGATCCAGAAGACTGGATTTGATCATATTCTTTGTATCTTCAACATGGCTGAGCTCTTCCTTCATGATCCCCAGGACAAGCTTGATTCCATGTGATTCCAATCATCTGGCCAAAAACCTCTCGATACCCCTGATCAACCAGTGGCCGACACTCCAGCCGTACAACAACCAAGCGGACGTCAAGCTGTTCCGCAGGTTTGACTCCTGGTGTAACGTAACTCTTATTTCTGCTCCTTCATGACAATAATTATAGATTTTTTACCAAATTTAATGATTGTCAAGATATAAATTGATCAATTTAAAAAAGCTGTTATGCTGTTTGGATGTTTGTCTTTGACTTAATAAAAAATAATTGTAACGATGTATTATTATTATTATTATTAGTTGCAGTTAAGCAGCATTCATATTACATTTTGAAACACAGTTTTAGTGTAGACACAATATTATTACTAAAACTGATATTATAATAAAATAAGTTATATAGTTTTGTATTTTTTGTAGTATTCAACATTTTACTTTCTGTTTCAGTTTCATTCAGTGTCAGTATATATCCATATCTATAAATATTTGAGTGGCAAACATAACCAGACCATAGTAAAAACAACATACATATGCATACTTGTAGAACAATCACATAATACATACCCATGTTTATTCTGTTTACATACTTTTTAAGTTGCAACAAATAGCAATGCACTCAAACCCTAAACGTGTGTTGACCTGCAGGAGGAGCTTCCCCAGCACGGAGCTGCTGTCAGTGGAGCTCAGCCTGGATTCAGACTCTCAGAGGACGGAGGGGAAACACAACGGAGGAGATTGGTGCACAGGTGACATAATAAAAAGTGATATAGTGTCTGTGCCACACTGTGAGTTAACATGTGAGTAACTGACTTTATGTCCGTCCCACCCCCTCCAGGAAAGGACTACACCCCCTCCATGATGGGCCTGTGTGGGTCCTTGGCCTCGATCCCGAGCTGCAAGTCTCTATCGAGCCTCAAGTCCAGTGAGTGCCTGGTTAACATCAGCACAGAGAACAGTCCTGCCCTCTCTCCCAGCTAGGGGGCGCCACACAAACACATGCCAAGCACTCAACAAACAGACAATTCAAAAACAAAAAGACGACTTTTGGTAGGTGGACAAACGCGTTGTCTTTCGCGGCCGTCCAGTGTGTCCAGTTACCTTTACGCTCCGAGCCCAGCGCGCTCTCTAGCTACACCTTTCAAGCGTTTGAGAAAGAGTGGCCTCCCCGTCTGGGACTGTCCCAACAAAGACGCAGGGATCAGCTGCTGTACTGCCCGACGGCCTCCCTCACTTTCACTGTCTCTCATTGTCTTGACATCATTAAGCCTCCTGGAATGCAAACAACTGGTCCATGTTTGACCTCTCTTGCATCACCACACTTGATTTTGTGCAATTACAGTAATGCATCCGTACCGGTCACGTTCATCCAAACTCACTGTAGGGGTCTGTTCTGTCTGTACCTGTCCGTTTGTCAGTGTCTTATCAGTCTGTCAGTGTCTCTGCTGCAAAATACAGGCAGGTCAGATAAGCTGTTATAATGTTTTAGGAAACAGAGAGAATGATTTGACATATTATATTACACTATTACAAGAGATCAAAAAAGAGAGGTTGTTGATGTGCCGAACCAAACGTGTGGCTACAGGTGGTATGATGAAGATTATTTAAAAATTAACAGACGCCGCTTTATGATGTTAGGATGAATGACACTATAGATTTTATTCAATCAAACAGTAGGTTAGATGGAGGTTTTGGGGGATTTGATATATATGACCTGTGAGGTTACCAAGGTTTGTTGGGGCACTACAATGTGAACATAAAAAAATAAGTCAAACAAACATATTGCATACAAATGCAAAATGCATTGTGACTATGCAGAGTGAATGTTTTCATTGTCTTTTTCTACAAACCTGGCTCGATAGAGTAGTTTGAGAGAAATAGTGAATGTGTAACGTGTGTGTGTGTGTCATCGAGTATTTGTCTGAATTTTTGTCTCCTTGTGATCGTTTCTTTTGGTTTTATAATTCATTTTATGTCATGGAGTACTTACTAATATAATTTAGCATCATGTAAATTGCAATCTCATGCAGGTTTGTTGAGAGTTGGGTTATGTTGTTTTATTTAAATCTGCAATAAAACTGCCTTTTTTTTAAACATTAAATACTGTCAGGAATTGGATGTGTTTTATTTAGTTACAATCAGCTTGTTAGCATTGATGCTACTGATGCGTCACCGATGCTACTAATACCTCTTTTACACCAAAAGTAGTGAGCATATGTGGGATTTTTAAAACTGCTCAAAATGAGCAATGAAATCACAAACAACCCGAGAACTGAGACGCTCTCTCACCTCGCTGCCAAATTAATGTTTAATCACATTTCCATCTCTGCTGATGGAGAACAATTAAAACCTGTTTCTACTTGAATTATGATATATAGGTTATATAATATAATATAATATACCTGCCAAAACATCAGCGTGTAGCATAACCATTGCAACGTTAGCGTTAATATTAGCATTTCGCTCAAAAGACTGCTCATAGGCACATCTAATTAAATGCAAAACCTTAGTAAACAGTCTATGTGCAAAACAAAGCTCTAGACTCTAAAAGTCATGTTGGCGTCTCAGAAACAAACTAACTGTGTCCATTGTATCACATCACAGCAATGTCTAAACTCAATATACGTATAAATATATATAAAGCCTTATTTTTATTATTTATATTGTATTTATTATTACATATGTTTTTTTAAATGATATATAATATAGAGCTAAACAGGTAAACAACATTAAATCATCAAGAGTTTTTTCCTCATCACTGTTTTTTAAATAATACTTTTTTCGGTTTATTTACTGTTTCACTTGTTTGTATAATTTCTCTTTTTTTTTAAATTTACATTTATTTAAAAAATCAACAAATTGACAGCAGGACTAAGAGCACACGCTCTTTGCCCCTGTGCCTCGGTCACTTTTTGTCCTCATGCCTCCTCTTTGTTGCTACACTTTGAGAAGCACGACGTCGTCTCTCTTCAAATGGGTTTAAAATGGCCTACGAGGGGTCATAGGTCAGGATCATTCATTCATTAAAACAGACAAATGCACAGAGCTAAACAAACAGCAGCTGAAGCTCCTTTGGGAAAGCATTATGCAGGAGACGCATTCCACATCGACATACTGTCCAATTAACTGCCTGGCTGTAAATGAATGGACACTGAGGGGTTGACAAAAGTTTGGTTTCATTACCGGGTTTTATCGTTGGCTGCTGTGTGAATGTGACATCAGTTGCTGGGTGCAGTTGCAAGAGATAGATGAGCAGGCTGCTGGACACATGGTTTGGCACTTCACCCTTTTCGTGATAAAGCACTTTCACTCCCATTCAGCTGTGCCAGACACACGAGCATGTCATCTGAACGTGGGCTGGGGTAACTCTGGCCCAGTTTGTGAGTGGACACTATGGGAGCCCACAGATCTGTTAGTAAAAGGATGTGTCATGTTATCTTTGACCCCATCTCCTGTCCCACCATTGACACTCCCTTTTACACAGAATCTGGACATTTATCTCATAAAATGCACACTGTCTCACACACGCACGCACACCACCCAAAACCACTCCACAGTCCACCCAGTCGCTGCAAACACACCCAGCTGGGCTCATTTAACAGGCCTCGGGATATCATGATGAAATTATGAGGAGGACCACACCAGTGGTTTTGTGTGTTTCGATTACATATTTAAAATCATTACAAGATGATAAACTATCATATGTTTTTGTAAACTATTTTTTACCAGCAGTAAAGACGTTAAGTTAACTTAACCAAAGTGTGGAGACCCATTTTTAGAATATATATATATATATATGAAAGTGAATGTTTCTACTATTTTTACAATATGAACCAACTATGGTGATTGTTGTTGTGATGTCCTTTCATGTAAAATAAAAAAATCAATATAACATACCCAACAAATTAAACAAGCCCTAACTTAACCAACTAATCATGTGTGCTCACACACTTCAACAATAATAGAATAGACATTTATACACAACACACGTGTTTCTATGCTGTGGTATTGTTAGTTTTATTTGAGTAGATTTGTGTTCCACCACATATAATATGTTAATTTAATTCAGGTGCAGGATGGACTATAAGATCACTTTGAATTACAGTAAATCAGAATCAGGTTTTATTAACAAGCAGGTTTACACATACAAGGAATTCGCTGCGGTGTGTTTCTGCAAGTATAAATATACAAAATGTAAAAATAGTAAAGTACAATTAGTGGTGAATTACAGTAGTTTCAAGTGTGTTGAAACTTCTCATTGTGCTGTTTAACAGTTTTATAATAATCTGTGGAAGTTTTAAAGTTTTACAGAATAACAGATGGGACCTGGGGGCGGTGACAGCAAAGTTTCTTTAAACGGGGTCCGATGGATTGATGGCGGATTGTCCAATGGGATCGTAGCTGGCGTCTCCTTCAACCAATGGGAAGTGAGATCGGCCTCGTGGTCCCGCCTCCTCCGCGATTAAACCCGCAGCAGCGTGGAAGTGGAGGAGAAGAGTTTGTGGAGCCGAGAACACGCAGGAGCCGGAGTGACCGTGGCCCGGAATCACGCAAACCTCGCGGGGCCCACAGGAAAAAAAACAAAACACGGTGTTTGTACAATGAAAATACGCGTGGAGGTTTGCGTGGAAGACGTAGGAGTTGACGTGAGAGTGAGTTTTTGAAAGTGGAGCCGCTTCCTCGTTCGAGAACCGAGCGAGAGATCTGAACATCCTCACAAAGAAAGTTCGACAGCTAGGCTGCTAACTGAGCACCGGGGAGGAGGGGGGGAGAACCGTGAGCACCGGGGGGGGGGAGACCGCACCACGAGCGGCTGGTAACGTGTCCTCTGTCGAGAGAAGAGTTCCGGGTTCACTCGGTGTTTAAATGAGTGAAGCCTGAGTTTTAAAACAGTTTTTACTGAGTCGTCATCATCATCATCATCATCATCAGTGGAGGAGGAAGAGTTGCAGCTGGTAACTCGACCACCAGAGTTTCCGCAGAGCCCCCCCCCCACCCCACCCCACACACCCTCCACCCTCAGGCAGCACCACGACCCCCTTCCGCCGCCGCAGAGACTCCCAGCTCCGGCCCGGTCTGACTGAGACATGTCCGGCCGCAGCGGAGCCCCGCAGACCCCGGGAGCTGCTCTGCGTCCGCAGCCCCTCAAGGCCACCGTCCCCTACCAGCTGACCGGCAAACCCCGGTCACACCACCGGGATGGGAGGTCAGGTAAGAGCCCGACACCTGCCGCACGAGTCCGGTCCCCTGGATCCAAATTAAAAAAAAAAAAGTGATGATAAACTTTCAAAAACTCTTCGACGAGCTGGTTTACAAGTTAGGAACTCACACAGCAGCTGCAGCCTCGTCAGTTTGCTTGTTAAACACTTTAAATGTCTAATTCACACTAGAAAAATATAAGATGAGTTGAAATGTGAAAATACTTGAGCCAAATGTTGCTCCAACAAATAATTATATAATTGGCATAAAGAGACAAGTAGGAAACCTCACACTGTCAAATGGAGTCTGGTTCTTGAGGTTTCTCAAGAACAACAACTATTCATTCTGAAGTGATTGTCAGTTTTCTTTCTATTCATCAACCAATCCTTGTTAAATGTGTTTTCTGTGAATATTTAACTTAATTCAAGTGTTATTATAGATAATACAAACCAGATATTACTCTATTCATATGATTATTGATTAACCAAATAGATTTTTATAAAGGTCACCACGCGTGAGTTGATTAAAATACTGCAAACTTTTAAAGTTTCCAGAGGCAGAGGTGACGGCTGCAGGTTCTTAGCTCTAAAACTAAAAATGGTCACTTAACGCCCATGTTGTTCTTTAAAAAAAATGGAAAAGTACCCAAACATTAGTTCCAGCCTCTCAAGTATGAGGGTTTCCTAACTATCTATTTTCAAAATGGCTGCTAAATGTTATATTTCAAACAATTGACATATCTTTAGACATATCGCCTTAGCTCTTAAAGGGGGTGTAAAGTAGTTTAGTTAAAAACTTGTATTATATTATTAATATCTTTTATGTGTTTTCTGATATCTAGAATCACTTAGAGCCACGCTAGGCATTAGAAATCTTTTACTATTAAAACCAGGAAATTATAGCCGATATTAATCTGTTGTCTCATATATAATGTAAAGTTGTTTCTGACACTGATAGCGGGAAAGACCAAACTACACCAGCTGAGCTCTGGCATGAGGCGGACCATGTCCCTGGACGCCATCATCGGGCCGTACCTGCAGGGACACTGGCCCAAAGAACTCGAGGGCCAGAGCAGCCCCTCATGCAAAGACAAATCCACTCAGGTCAGCTCCAGATGAAAAGTGTGAATTTAATAATGATGCTGGCAAGTTTGAATTAAAAGCATGCGCACGTTTGTCTGTCTTTACCTTTTTAAATCTGTCATGTCAGGATAGGTCGGAAGACAAGTTTGCATGTTTTGCAGAGAACAGAGTTGCTATGAGAAACTGTGAGGGAGGGAGTGTCCGGTGCTTGAACAGCTATTGCAGACTTGAGAACCACAGCCATGAGAACAGTCCCTGAAGTCAGCTGACGAGGCCGTTTTGGCTGCACCCTTGCTCTCTGCTCTGTGTAGGCACTCGCCACTGCTCTTCGGTTGCCCACATCCTCCCCCTTCTCTGTTTTTCAGTTTCTCCTGCTGTTTTTTACTGTTAGTGTGAACAGAGAGTCTGTGGGTGTGGATGATGTGATGTGGCTGCAGATCAGCTTGTGAGAATGAGAAGCTAATCTGCACTTGCTGTGAAGCGTCTGTAAAATATGTTTGAAGTCTTGTTTTAATGCGACTACAGCGTCACAGTTTCAGATTTGAGTGTGCGGCCTCACACAAAGCTTTGATATACATGCTCACTTGTCAGTGACATTCCGCATTACTTTGAGGGTGTTTTGTTTTCATAACAGCTGACCATGTTGTGCTTTCTTTCACCACAGACACCAGACTCATGGTCAGATGCTTCTCAGAGCAGGAGAGGAAGCAGCAGCAGCAACAGCAGCAGCCATAAGCGATCAGCATCATGGAGCAGTGCTGAACATCTGCGAGAGGTAAAGATCTGCCGTCTCTGATCAACATGTGTTTTTGTAACACTCCGGACATTTTTGTATTTTTGAATCACAAGAGGACAAGCTGCCTGACGAAGCCCTGACTCGGTTATTGTGGCAGCATTGAGCAAGAGGGAATCAAATGACCTCATCTCAAAGCAACTTCCCCCTTTTTTTTTTTTCCACTAGACCTCAGCTCCTTGTAACTTGTTTTCTTTTATCCAAACATAATTTTCAGATTATCACTACTAAAAAAAATGGCCACAATAAGCCACTGAAGTGATCTTGCAGAGCGTGTGACGTGTTTAACAGACTTACTGACCGACTGTAATGCTCTGTTCATTGCAGATTGCTAAACTAAAACAACAGCTGCAGCAGCGCAACAAACCTGCAGTCTCTGGGGGACATGACAAAAACTCACAGCGAGGGTATCCTCAGAGGAGCTGTAGCCTAGGAACTACTCAGGTAACTTACCTTCATCAGCACACACAAACACACCGTCCCACTTACTTCATATGTGTGTGCGTATGTGTTTTTCTGTTAAGAAACATATTTTAACCAGTGCGACCTGTCTCCAACTGATCACTGCTGACATTCATCAAAGTGAATAAGCAAATGCTGCAGCTCATTACAGGAAGTGAATGAGAAAGAAAGAAAAAAAACACACTGAAGCAACAGGAAGACTATATAACACTTTCTCTGTACAGAGTGAAATACATATTTCTTCTTTTCAGCACAGTTGTCGACGTAACCAGTCATGACTTTTCTCACTGAAGTGTGGAGACAAACTGATAAACACAGGCTACAAACCAGATATTTATAAGGACGTGCATCATTGTGTGATTCAGCTCAATCTGTATTGCTTTGATTCTAGGTTTTTGGCACTGCACAGGAAGGCTTCAAGTTGTGATTTAGTAACGGCAGTAACAACCTTTTCAAATGTTGTAACACGCAGTATGTTACAATGACGGTAATCAAGAAAAGCTGACAAGACAGCTGTGGAAAAAAAAAAAAAAAAGGTGTGATGTGTTGAAAGTTCCTCCCTAACATTGATGCAGCCTAAATTCTATTCAACTCGTGTGTCTTCAGACTCAGTCAGTCCCCGTCCCTCTCGCTCCCTTGTCTACACTGGTCCCTCGACTGCGCTGCAGCGTGGAGGGCCTCAACCAGGAGCTGGAGGGCATGTTCATCTGCCAGCCGCCGCATCCTCAGCACAGGGTAACTAACTACCACTCACCACACACACACGTGGAAAACCCCAGGAACTGTTTTACTCTCAAAGAAAGGATCGATATGTGAAAACACTGAGGATAAACACTGTTGTTTCCTGTTTGTCAGCTCCTCGAGGTTCCTGATGGTCACCGGGCTCCTGTCCCTCGGCTGAGCTGCAGCAGTGGCTCTCAGAGTGACCCCACCACCACACCCCTATCCTCCCCCTCCCCCTGCTCCTCTCCCATCCACATCTCCTCCTCCCCGCCCAACTCTGAAGACACTCCTGTGGACCTCCACCAAGGTTAGTCTTTAAGCACAGGGTGTTATTCAATCTTGTGCTCATTGCCTTCGATCTTGTTGTAAATGCGTTCTTCCCTCTTGTTTTCAGGTTTAACAGAAGGCGCAGAGATGTGTCTCCTGTCTCCGTTCTCCTCCCAGAGCGAGGCGGACCTCTCCCTGCCTCTGCTGATCTCTTCGTCTCCAGGACCCAACAAAAGTTGCTGCTTCCAGCGAGAACCTCCAGAAGGCTGCGAGAAGGTCCGAGTCTGGGAGGAGACCAGGTACGTTTTTTTTTTTTATTCATTCTTGTTTTTACATTCCTCTCTGTCAGTGTGATGATGCCCTCTGGTGGTGACTTTTTTCTTGTTGTAGTGCACATACACAATCACAAATTCCCAGTTTGGTCTCATGTCGACCTTCCTCTCATTCTGTAGCGCTCCACGCCAATCAAAGCCAACCCCCATCTCCTCCTGCCCAGACCCCAACAAGGTCAACTTCACCCCCCATGGTGTCTCAGCCTTCTGCCCCGTCAGCCTCCTGAAGCCCCTGCTCCCCTCCATGGACCTGTTGTTCCGCAGCCTTGCCATCTCTCCAGCAGGCAGCTGCTCAAACCTGGGAACGATTTCCTTCCAGGCGACGTCCCCTGACAACCCCTCCTCTGCTTCAGATCCTCCTCCTGCTGCTACCACTGCCACCGTGGGAGAGAGCTCTGGTCAGGGCCTCGCTTTCTGATCATTGCCGCAGATTGTTTTCTGAAGAAATGAGTTTGTATAATTCAAATCTTTGAGTCTTCTGGGAAAGATTTAGCACAGTGGCTTTATTTTAGGAAGTTCCCATCGCTTTTCTACACAGGCATAAAAAAGAAATTATGTTAAAAAAATAAAAAAAAAATATATAGAAAGAAAATGAATATGATACTCGTGCGTGATCCAAAGCTATGCTGTATAAGTTGTGTTGGGTTTCCAAGCATCTCTAAATTAATTTTAGTTGAGTCATTTCATTATCCAAAGATTTAGTTTTGGCCAAACCAGAGTGAGCGACGGGCAGTCCAGTGAAAGGACGGCTCGTTTATTCTTCAACGTGATCTGAGATGTGATTCGTTGACTGAGTGCACAGATTGTTCTGTTTCCCCAAAGAAGCCATGACAAAGACTTTTAATTCGCTGCTGGTTTTAAAACTCGTGTTCCTCTCTGTCCAAAATCTTGGGAGTCTGGGTCCAGTAAGAAAAACACATCGTGGATAAGTTTGTTTTTAAGCATTCAAAGATATTTATCTGCGATTCTCCTTAGATTTCTTTTCCCACCTAACTCGACCCTTCAGCTGTTGCTGGTGTACAAAGCATGACAAATCAGTGGGGTACTTTTTCTTTTTTTTTTACCTGATTTAAAAGTGACACGAGTAAGTTAATAGTTGTAGACTGAATGGAATATTCTTCATGCATTCCTGCTTTAAACGTTCCGGCAATGTTATTTTTTGTTCTATCTTGTTTACTTGCAAAAAAAAAGTAACATGTTAAAGGATGAAAACCTGCTATTCCTCGATGTTCTAGATGTGTGCTTGACTGTATGTTTATAGTTTGGAGGTTTCACAGCCTAGTTGACTACCTAACCAGTTTTAGTGGTGTAGATTTGTCATCAAGTGTTTTTTCTTTGACGATGTTCTTTTTCATCTGCCATGCTGACAAGCTGATAGAGGTTTATTTCTGGTAGACATGTTTGCACAAATTGAACTGCTACGTTTGAGTCGCAATTCTTAGTTTTATATTCACTTTTTGTACTTCATTGTAAATTTCAGAGTAGTAATGTGTATTTTCTACACCTTTTTTTTTTCCAATTACCTGCAACATAAGCTAAAAACAGTTATTTTAGTTTCGTTCTGTCAGTATAAGTGAGGCAGGTGTTACGTGAGATGTGTCAGGTGGATTTTTTATGCACTTCCAGGAGAGGCTTTTTACGCTCGTTAGTCCTGGGTTTATTGTGTCTGACAGGAGTTTTGTTGATGGGTGTCTGTATGTGTGTGTGTGTGCACGTGGATGAGAAGTTAACTAGTCTGACTGTTTGACTAACTTCCACTAGTTGTAGTGTCCTGGTGAAACGCTGATGCATTTAAACATTGTCTTTTTCCAAATAAGCCTCAATGTCAATGTTTATAGAGTCTGCAAAGAAGCCGGGGACGTGCTGTTATCTCAGGTTCTGTGTTCTGTCCACATAAATATATGATTGATTATTCACTGTCTCCGTGTGAATTTATACTCTTCGGTCTTTCACAGTTCTCTGGCACTTTGTAGACAGAACGATTCAATAAGGGACCTTCCTCAAAGGGACCGTCCCCAGAAATATTACCTTCAATCAAACGAATCTGTTAATGGATTTATATTTCAAGGAGCAGGATTTATCCTCCATCACCTGCTGGTTCAGTGAACATACACATATCCATACATGTCCACGTCACATGACGCAGGCCCGTACAGATGTGCATATGTCGTCTCATTGTGTGATTGGCTGAGGGTGTAAGGAGGTGGCGTTCACTCCTCTGTGCGTCCCGGCCTGTAGGAAACAGTGGAGCGGTCCTCCTTCGCCCCTTCAGCCGCAGACCCTCAGCTTTATCACGGACTCAGCCGAGCAGAGATCCCGCCGACATGTCTGTGTTCAGCCTCGTCGCCAAACAACTGCGGAGCCACCCGGCTGTAAGTGTGTTTTCATTCTAACGCGTGAACGACCCGGTGACATTGAAGGCAGCCTGGAGGACGCGCGCACTGTGTGTGTGTTTGACTGGAGCGCGCTCCCGTTTTTTCCATTCTCTCCTTAATTATAATTAGTTGATGTGTAAATGCGCCGCAATGACATTTTCACCAAATGCACCGAATGTGTAAAGGCCCAGTTTTACGCATTTGATTATTGGGATGAGAGAAAACCAATGCGACTATAACGACATGTGGTTTGTCACCTGAAGATTCTCCCACAGCTGTAGATTTATGATTTGATTAACGGGTCATTAATTAAATTCCAGTCATACTAAATAAACCCGCTCTTTATTCTCTCATCCGTTTATTTCTGGTGTTTTCCCTCCTCGTGTGAACGCGCCTGGAGATGTTCCTGTGCCACCCTCTCAGCTTCTTCTTAAAAAAACGAATCACCTGCAGGGACGAGGCAGAGAAACATGCACTCATGAGACAGTCGTGATGTTTATATGTGTTAATAATGAAAGTCGTGATGATCTGAGGGGGAGATGTGGTGAAATCAGGCGCCTACGTGCGAGCACTGTGCGTTACAGCCATGTATGAAGGTCGCTGCAGGACGCACTGTACGTACTGTATGGACTCCATGCTGGAATGAGAGCATGTGGAGACTCCACTGTTTGTCAGAGGGCGACAGAGTCACGCTGTTATTAATAGATCACTGAGTAGAGACTGTCTGTGTTTGTTCCCAAGGAGCTGATAATAATAATAATAATTATAATATAATAATGAATATAGACAAACAAAGACACAATAACAAGTAGCTTTACAAATTCAAATGGAAGAATCAAAGACAAACTACAGAAAACATTTACAGCATTAGACAACAGAGGAGCACAAGGATAAGAAGGTGAAACACATTTTAATATATGAAGCCTCATAATACTACCACTACCACTACTACTACTACTAATAAACTCAAAACACAGTTACAAGGTACATATTGGATAAACGTGGAAAGTGGGTGGATTCAGACCCCAACTCACGACAGGTGTAAACTGTCAACTTGCACCTCTGACATTTTGATACGCGAATGGAATCAAATTTCAAAATGAAATGGTTTATACAAAACAAAGAGGAAAACTTTGTAATGAACATATTCGGGGGACGAAGAAGCCAAAACGGTTCAGATCCACTGAATTTAATTTGTGAACAACTGTTTGTTCTGTTCCCACCAGCTGATCCCCCTCTTCATCTTCATCGGTGGTGGCGTAACCATGAGCGCCACGTACCTGTGTCGGCTGGCTCTGAAAAACCCAGATGTCTCGTACGTACCAGTTATATCACAGACAGCAAGGAGACATTCTTGTTGTGGATCTGTTGTTTTGTATGGTTATTACATTTAAGTGTATTTGTAAGTATAACACGAGGAACATTAATACCATCAGGAAGTCAAATTCTGAAATGGTCGTCTGTTCTTGTCCACAGATGGGATCGTAAGAACAACCCTGAGCCCTGGAACAATCTGAGCCCCACTCATCAGTACAAAGTAACAGCTTTCGAATAAGAATAATAAGAATATGGATTATTTTGTGTTGGTATTACAATTATGTGTTTGACAGCTTGGTTAGATTCAAAGGTAACCTCTGTAAAGGACATCCCTTATCTTTTCTGTTATCTCACATCAAAGTCCATATTCCTTTATACTGATTGTGTATGTTTGTTTCTGTGTGTGCGTGTTTCCAGCTTTTCACAGTTAACATGGACTACTCCAAGCTGAAGAAGGACAGGCCTGATTTCTAAGTCGCACTTCTGCCTCTGACGTCGTCTTCAGAGTGAAGAGCCTTTGCACTTTTTTTTGTTTTGCCAAATATGAAATCAACCCTTGGCGCTGACTGAAGGTCGAACTCATTCAGCTCATTCTGGAGGAAGGGATCACTCACTTTATCAGTGACTGTCTGAATTTATAAAACAGGCAACCACCTGTTTTACTAATGTATGAATTTATTTTTGTTGTAAATCATTAAAACTATTTTAATCCCGTCTCTCGTTTGTGCGTGACTCCCAGTTCATGTTTGTACTTTTTGTTAAATGAACAAATGTTATGAATGGCATTCGTCTGTCCACTTCATTCACCTACTTCTTAAACCAAACCATATTTTATATCACTGTAACTTTAACCTAAATTGAAATAATAATTTCATCATCTGAAAAACTAGTTCTGTGAACGTCTCATAGGAACTTGCTGATGCAGTTAAAGTCTAATAAATAAAGCTGCTTTTTATGTGATAAATCATTTTAAAAAATCATGTTATCATTATTTTATACATCAACATAAAGAAAAGATCATAAACATATAATGTTAAAATATAAAATAAATAAATAATCACATTAAACTGAGTCACTCTTCCACCAACTGTTCTCCCTCGATTCTCCACTTGGTGGCGGTAACGCGCTGGAGACGCCGAACGAGAAGAGGAAGTTATCGCGAGGTTTCACTTGAAAATAACGCGGGAGGCAGAGCGACAGGAGCAGGAACGTAAACAGACTCGAACTTCGCTCAACGCGCTAAAATCTGCGATCGGTGAAACTCGCTTCGGTTCCGCTTCCACTCTCGGACTAAAACCACCTGGTCTGTAACAAGTCGCGACTGAACGCGGCTAACGCTGCTGCTCTACCGTTTGTTTGCTAACAGCAGCTAGCAGCAGCTAACAGCTAGCAGCAGCTAACGGCAGCTCCATGGATCTGACGGAGGATTTATCTGCTCGAGTCCTGCTGAAGAACATCCTCAGCACCGAGACCCCCAGGACCCCCATCACCCGCAGGTCCTCATCCATCCACCCTCCATCCATCCATCCACCCTTTTATTTTTGTTCCAGGGTCGACTGATTGCACCTGTCTGAGTTGTATTTGTATCTGTCAAAGTTAAACTAACCTGACAAACATAGGAATTAATGAACAAGTCTGTATTAAGCAGCACAAATAATCAAATCTGTACATTATAGGATTATAATGTTCATCTCTTCTGTAAATGAGCAGCAGTCGTAAATCCTGATGATATGAAACAACCACAATCAAGCTAGTAGCTGATGATTGTTTTCTTTTATTCCCTGAAACGTTTATGTTTTTTTTAATTGATCAGTTTATTTATTGATTAACACACAAAAAATGTTAAATTCCAGCTCAGGCTGAGCAATAGAACAATATCAATAGTTATTGCAGTTTAATTCTTTATGCACAAAATTCAAAATATTTACTTTCTGAATTATGTATAAATAAAAAAGTTTCTCTCAGCGACTTTGTGTTGAACACATTTAAAACCGTCTTCTCTTAGTTCCTCCAAACCAGTGAGCACCCGACGCAGCAGTCGACTGAGCAAGAGAGATGCTGGAGCCCAGACCCCACAGGACATCCTGAGGCGCAGCCTCAAACATAAGATGCGTGAGGTGAGGTGGAAGAGCAATTAATATGCTGATGATGGACATGTTGAGTCTAATGAAGCTGATTTATCTTCCTTATTTGCAGAGTATAACCAGGAAGTCCTTGCCCCCCACTACAAGGAGGACTGCCTCAGCTGGGCTCAGAAATATAAACACTCCCGCCCCAACGTCAATGCTGTTTGATGAAGGAGAAACACCGAGGCACATACTCAGGAACATCCTGCTGACGGGTGTGTGGGCCTGACTTTCTTTCTGCACACGTCACGATGCAGCTGTTTGTTTTCTCTTTAATAATGTTCTTCACCGTGTGGTTCAGAGCCGGTGAAGTCCCCAGTGATTCATGAAAAAGCTGCGTCAGAGGAGCCCCAGCTGATTTCAGCCAACTCCAGCATTACCAGCAAGCGTCCCAGGTGTGTGTAACAGGATGTCTCTCCATTATCGGTTTGTTTGTATGTGACTGGCTGAATTATGTTGTGTTTGTGTATTTATATAAAATAACTTGATATTTTCTTGTCTTTCAGTATTGAGCTCTCAGGGCTGGATCTGCCTGATTTAACTCTCGGCAACGCAGCAAGCATTGCAAAGGGACTGAGCAGAAAGAGACCACACCGGAGCCTTAACGTAACAGCTTTTGAAAAACGACTTAAAGGCGCAAGTGGTAATGTTAAAGCTGCTACTGATGAGATCCAATGGTTGAAAGAGATTGTATAAGATCCTGTGAACGTTTGTGTTTGTAAATTCATACATTTACTGGGATGTTTGTGTTCCTTATGTTTACAGATGTTGGAGAAGAAAGTGAAGTGTCAATAGATGATCATTCATCACTTTCCTTATCAAGGTAAACACATTTAGATAATCATGTATTATCTTTTAGTTTTTAAAACAATTAGATTTCTGTTGACAGTGAGTGAGTTCCTAATTGACTGTATTGCCTCTTTAATCTGTTTGAAAGCTCCACGTCTTTGAGTTTGAAAACACCCTTTGTAGACGTTCGGATGGAGAGGAGGGGTCTGCAGAGGAGAGTTGCCAACCGTAGAAAAGTCACAGCAGAAGAATTTGGTGCTGGTGTAAATAAATGGCAGATGGAAGACGATCGTGGTGATTAAATTGTTTTTCTTAACCTTGCAATTTTTTCCTTTTTGTTCCATTTCATATATGTAGTTATAAGTTAATTAAAGCACTGATTCCTCACTTATTAGTTCATGTTTTGTACAAAAGGTGTTTTAAAGCCTGACTTTGTTAAATTGCTATTAATGAATATTATGTGGCAACAGGTATTTATTTTGTTTTATTGTCTAGAACAACCAGAGGATTTGAATATGACCACCTACTCTGAGGGCTTCACCCTGGGCCTAAGTGTTCTCAGCGTACCTGATGTCTCAGCAGACATTGTCAACTGTAACACAGCCCTCTACTCAGAGCCTAATTCCATGACGTCCAGCTTGTCCATCGTTGAAACACAGGACAAGAGGGAGACGAGTGACATGGAGCAGAATGAGCCGGAAAAAGAGAAGTCAGTGCATGTATCTCCAACCGAGGGAGGGGTTGCTGTGGAATCTCAGAGCGAAGAATATGTCTCTGATGGTCAGTCAGAGAAAGATGTGGATACAGCTGAGTGTCAAGAGGAGGAGATGAAGAGGACATCTGATGGTGAAAACGACGATGAAGAGGAGAACAGAGTGGAAGCTCAAACAGAGGAGGAAGGTGCTGCTGATCCTCAAACTGAAGGAGAAGAAGAAGATTCTCAGCCTGAAGAGGATGTTGCAGTCAGGTCTCAGTCGGAGGCAGAGGAGGTTGCACCTGACTCTCAAACTGAAGAAGAAGATGGAGTGGATTCTCAGCCTGGAGAAGATGTTGCAGCCAGGTCTGAGGAAGAGGAGGTTACACCTGACTCTCAAACTGAGGAGGAAGAAGAAGGTGCAGTTGATTCTCAGTCTGTGGAGGAGGGTGATGCTGAGGAATATCAAAGTGACCAAGAAGATCCTGCAGCCAATTCTCAATCTGAGGAAGATGAGCATGATGGGAAGCAAGAGGAGGAGGAAGACGGTGAGCAGGCATCAGAACTGCTGGAACACATCAGTCGAAGGGCTCAGCGCTCACAGGGTGGCCTCATTGTGCCGATGCCAGGAGCAGGGGGAGATTTGCAAGACGCAACAGAAGAAGGTAGAGTCAAGAATATAATCTCTTACTGTGGATAAAAGGGATTATATTAAATGTGCTTGACTGAATGATCAATGAAAGTTATAAATGTTTCCCAGTTTTCTTATTTAAGTGTTGTTGCTTGTATGTAGGATGGAGTGAGGACAAAGCGCACAGTGCTATCAAGCAGAGAGAGAGCAGCCACCCTCATTCTGAGATGCCTGACGTGGCGGAGTCTTCAACCCGAGGACAAAATGACGATTCTCAGTCAGAGGCTGAGTCTGATGCCTGGAAAGAAAACCCTCTTCTCTCTCTGGACTTGATGAATGATATTGTAGATGGCGACCACCTGAGTGATGCTTCACCTGAAGAAGAGGCTGGTGCTTTAGACCCTGCTGAACAAGGAGAAGAGTGGGAGGATGAAGATGGGGAAGAGAACAAGGGTCAGTGTCTCATTTTGTCTCTGTCATTGTGTCCACTCTTGAAGCTGATTTAAGGATCAGTAGTTAAAGTTACAAATGAGAAGAGAGTAACGTGTTGTTTCACCATTTTCTAAACTCTCAGACTTCAGTTGCGAGACCCCAGCCTTTGTCAGAGAGAAGAGGAACTTTTTCAAACCGGACCCTCTGGCCTCACCTTCTCTTCAGAAGAATATTCAAGCCAGGTCAGTTGCATTCTATGTTAAAATGAGCTTGTGTGTTTCTCTGGAAGTTCAGAGTGAAGTCAGTTTAAATATGCGGATTAAATTCCGAATGTTTCATCAGTTACTGACTCATTCTTCTGTCTGCAGTTCCACTAGTGGTACAAGTGAAGCCTTACCAGCAGCTAAACCCAAGCAGGTGCAGCGGAAGAAGAGAACACCAGCTAAGAACAAAGCAACCCCTCCTAAGAGCTACCTTATGAGCGTGTTCAGACACTTTGCAAAAGCGAAGGTCTCTGCAGATGTGTACCCCGTCCTTGATGAAGTGTAAGTAACTGTGACTACAGGTCCCAACAAATTAAGCAACAAGTGAATTTAAAAGTTCCGTAATAAGAAAAGTTCTTAAATAATTTCTGAGCCAGTTGGAATCTTTTGTTTTGTGATTTGGTGAATACGTCACTGGTGAGATAACCGATGTGCGTCATCTTTTTGACAGAATGGATAAATTCTTAGAGCGGCTGGCGGACGATCTGGAGACGTATGCAGGTCATGCAAAGAGAAAAACCATAGAGGTAGAGGATGCTGTGCTGCTGCTGAAGAGGTCAGTGTGTTGTTTGATTAAATGAACATGCACCAGCTCTTTCTTACGGTTTTCGAAAAGATGCCAGAGTTCATCTCCTAAAAGTAATTTAGCAAATTTCAGAAACTCAGAGATAAAAGGACATAAAAGATGAAGATAGTATTCAAAGCTACAAATATGAATAAGTCTGTTTTCTGTTGAGCAAAAGTTATCGACATGGTTTTAATGCTGCGAGACGTAAAGAATGAAGAATTACATTATCTAGCAGAACATGACAAAAAAGAAAAACCAACCCTGCCACACAAGGATTATAGTGACCTCTAGATGGCACCCTTGAGCTCCGTGTTGAGTGTGAAGATGATTGTGATCACTTCGGATGAAGAAGGAAACATTTACTCTGAAACACTAATCCATGGGAGCACACAGATTTAAAAAAAGCTTGACATGTTGCATTTAACGTGACCATTATTTTTGCACTCTGCAGGCAGGGCCACGTGAATGACAAGGTGCCGGTGGAAGTGCTCATTGAGAAATATCTTCGCATGGAGCAGCGCAAGCTCTTGATCCCGATCGCAACAAGTGGAAATGTTGTCATCCCTAAAAAACACATTTGAATATTTCAAGTACACAGCCTCGTGCTTTTTATTTGGTTTCATCTCTGGTATCTACACATTTTTCTTACACTGTATTTGTTTGCAAGTTGTTTTGAATATTACATTTTGTGTAAATTTATAAATATTTGTTAATATATGTACGCATGTATTTGTCACTTTTCTTCATCTTTCTCTTTATGCACATGATTTCTTGTCCGACAGTATAAGAGAAAAAGATGCTACACGTCCTTTGAAAATGATCAAATATTGAAATAAAGAAAAGTTCCCCGTCCCTGTTCTCTGTGCCTAATTTGTAGCCATCAAGAACGGACACCTTGTAATTATGTTTCCCCTGACGAGCAGCTTTAAATTATGGGTTTTGATAAAATGGTTATGATTTCTGTTTTTAGTAGAGAGATGCGACAGCTCCATTATCCACTGCTTTGCATCTAAGGGAAGAAATTAAATCTAACACAATAATTGATTTTTAGAAGTTTAAGAGCACAATTCATCACCAGAGAACATGGTCACTGCAAAGACGTGTGAGCGTGAGAGGACAGAGATGAATTAAAGACACATTCAAGCTGAGCTGATGAATCCAGAGATTAATACCGTTCACATCTTAATTAAATTCAACCTTCAACAGTCGATAGCCCTTAATCTTGGTGTACGGCAATAGCTCATCTACCCTGCTGATTAAATTAAGATAAATTAGTCTTCAGTGATGGTGAAAATTAAACAGAGGCAGTGCATCCATGAGAATGACCGGTAGAGATTTTTTTTTTTTACTTTAATCTGCAAGCATCAATATAAACCAAACCCAGTTAGATAGAAAGAGATATTTGTAAATACACTGTGGTTTAATTTGGGGGTAATAGCAGCTCTTGGGTCAGATCTGGCCCCTGCCACATGAATATTCATCCTCACAAGAAAAGCTAAATTGGTTTTTGTAGTTTGCATCAAAACATAAAAAAAGAAAAGTTCACGTTTCCTGCAGGTAACATCAGAATGCGTACAAGTTTTGATTAAACCCAATATAACCCACTGACATCTAACAATTACAATCTGGTCTTTGACATCCCGAATGCAGATAGCTTGCAAGTAAGATTACATTTTTTAATGCAATAATCAAAATGTACAACACTTTCATTCAGTCAGTTTTGAACCAAGTTCTCCAAATCTTTTTTTACTATATGACTATTAAATGACCTGTTGTAAAATCTAACTGAAGCTAATGTCTGACCCTTAATTCAGAATATAAAACATAAAACTTAAAAAAATATTATTATCTCTCACTCGATTCTTTTTCACTGAACCCTGGAAATGGAATCCCTCCCGTGCAGCAGGGGGCGCTGGCTGTGACACGGCCCTGCCCATGTCTGCCCCTCATGAAGACAGCTAGCCTGCTAGCTAACAACAACACCAGCTCCCGGACGACCACCGTTTCCAATCGAACCCGACACGAAGGTGAGTGTGGCGCCGAGTGAACAACGAAGCAGCGACCGTGACGAGCGAACACGTGAGCGCGCAGCACGCGTGTCCTCGCGGGGTTCACCCACGCGCGGTTTTTAGTTTTCTGCCCTTTTTTAGTTTGGCTCAGATTTAGCTGCTACAGGAACTGGGCTAGCTGGCCAGCTAGCTCGGCGGAGTTAGCCGTGGGGCTAACATCGGGATTGTGTGGACTGAGGAGTCGAACCCCGGCGTCGACGCGTGTCTCTGTTTTTAAAAGCGCGGTCTGTGTTGACGTGCAGCTGAAGCGAGGAGCCGGATTAAAAGCAGAAAAGTACTTTATCTTCACTGTTAGCAGGTCAACTACCTGCTACTGTCACCGCCTACAGCCACTGTCTGACTCACGTCCCCAACAACAACAACAACAACCTCCTTCAAGTTTACACGTTTTTTAAACAGAAGAGTCGAAGAGTTCAGACTTTGAAAGAATAATATGCACTTTGTGTTGACCAGATATAAGGAGCACGAGGATGCACGTCCCGGGCCTTCATCATAGGTTTTCTTAGAGTCAAACTTTGTGGCTCACCCGATGCATCAGGTTTGTTGGTTGTGATGTAATGATATAAGTCAGTGACCCTTGTTGACAGGAGGCGGGTTTGTGTTGCTCACGCGTCCATGCAGGGGGTGAAGTTATAATCTAATGTGCTCCAGGACAATGAAGATTGTAATATTCACCTGTGCATCCAAGAACTATAGAAATGGCTTCACCGCAGTTTGTGTTTTGGTGGAAACTGTGAGACGATCAGTGCTTTTTATTGTAAAGTCTGTGACTGAGTCAGGATGGGCTGAATGAATGAATGAACACATAAGTGCATGGTGGTGGGTAAATTTAAACATGAGGCATAGAGATGAAGACAGTGAGGTTTATGGTGATGTAATAATTTGGCTCTAGCTCATGGAAAACCAAACTGGTTCTTAAAAGCTTCACAAGTTGAACCAGTTCTGAAACAGCACTTGGTTCGGTTTGATGGAAAAGGGGGTGTATGTCTAAGGGAACATTTACGTGCTTTCATCCACGACTGCTTTCTCAATGTTCGTGCAATTGAAATGATCAATATATGATAAAAGATGTACAAGCAGATGTCACATTCTTTTAGTTGTTACCCCTTTTTAAAGTCCACGCTGATTTTAAATGGCCTTTCATTGAAGTTTTTCCTGAGTTCATCTGTTTTAATACTCTTAGGAAACATCACTCAATTTAGCTGAGCTCAGTTTAGTGTTGGAGAAAATCCAATTAATCTTTGTTTACTATTTAAAAACAAATTCAAAAATAAATGTAATGGGGAAGAATTAGTTTTCAGGTCAGTGTCACATGTAATAACATTTAGGTCATTGTTGTTTCAGAGGTTCGTGTGTTTTGAAAATGGATACAATCCAATTGCATTCCTGTTGATTAACCTCAGCACGCCAGCAGCAAAGACCGACCGACTGTAGGATTAGAACATCACTCAAGTTGGGTAATTAAGTGAGAAAGGGATTTTGCCAAGAGCCTCAGTGTTACACATCAGTTCCTTTGTGTAAACTGCTGCTGTGCACATTGTTAACATGCCTGTTTGGAATTGGATGTTTGCTTGTGGTCCAGATGTTTGAGCCGTGGCGAGAAAAGACAGAACCCTGAAGCAACACAAAGAGCTGCTGAACAGGTTTCAGTGAAGCTCGGCTCAGTGTGTAAAGCCCCGAACTGAAGAAACAAATCTTTCACTTAAGTTTTGACAACACAATTACCAAGTTTGAAGCCGGTAAGATGAACTGTTCCCGGGAAGGGACAACAACAGACAGAGATTCCTGCAATTAGATTAGAGAGAAAACTTTCCAGGGGAAGTCACATTATAATTTTGTGAGAGTGTAGTTCCTGCTACTTGTTACTGTTACTTACGTGCAGGGGATGTCTGGTCTTGCAGGTCAACATGTCAAGTGTTAGTGTTGTAATGGTGTGAAGCAGGTGACTGGAGACAATAGATATGCATTGAGTTGCCTCCTCCCTTTGAAGCAGGTGAAGCCTGGGTGCTAATGCTTTTCTTGCCCCGTCAAATCCCCTTCAGTATAATTGTGAGTCTGCACAAAGTCAAGGATGAGAGCGAGGCAAGCTGATCGCTGCAGCAGAATCAATAGTTCATACCTTTCTGAGATTGAGTTTTTAGGAAAGGAAGAGCACCATGACCAAGGGCAGAATATGAAATCCCTCCCACAGAGGCCCAACACGCGCCGTGCGATCGATCCCCAGTCCCTGTACCAATTATAGTTTTAAGGTTTGTCTGGGGCTTACCGCAGTCCTCGAAGACCACAGCTTTGGAAATAGACATTGTGTTCACTGACACTTTGACAAGGGCTGCAATTTTTTCAACCCCTTTGGAAATTGCTGTGTGAAATGCCTCCACACCTCCAGTTTTTAATTTGGAGCAGAAATTGATTTCTCCTCCTTTTTTGATCTGTGGAGTGAAATGTCAGGGAAAAAAAGCGTTGTGGTCATAACAGCCCACTTAATGTATTTTATTTTCACAGATAAACATTCATACATTTCAGAGGTACAGAGGAATTCATTTAAAAGAAATCGATCTTGTTTGTTAAATATTGTTGCCATCTACTGTTACAATTTTAAAAAACTTCCCCGGGTATAATTTTTTCCTGGATTATCGGACACAGATAATCACTTTACTGTGTATTAGTGATAAGTGTATAGATCGTCTGGTTAAATATCAGCTGACTAAAAAAACTATAGATTATTTCTGAATGCAAACACACTCAATGGCTATTTCTTGAACTTCCTGTCTTTGGTGCATCCGAGTCCAGCCCAATGCTCAGGATTTTATTTCTTTCTCATACCCCTGTTTGATTTTTCCTTTCTCTCCATCTAACCTCTTTTTGTGGCAATTTATCTCAGACGGTGGCCAATCTTTCATTCGCCTCCTGTTTTTCCATTTGGCTTCTCTATCACTTTACTTTTCATTTTCTTTCCCTGTACCACCTTCCTCTATCTTCATCGTCTCACTCCATCTTACCGGTGGCCGGTGTTGAGAAATCTAAAAGATTGGTTGGTTCTTCATTCATTGAATTTTGTGATGACAGTCTTGGAAGTGGGCCGAACCAGTCATCTGTCATGGGTCGTTTTGTGTTGATTAGACTCCGTAGCCTTTTTATACTGTCATGACTGTTGCATTATTATCCCCCCTCACTGTTCTGTATGGTAGAAACATGCTGTGGGGGCAAACGGCTGGCAGCACGGGATAAATGTGAAAGCCGAGGGAAAAACCATAACAATACCCAACCCTTATGAAAAGCCTTTTCAGCTGAAGGATAAATAACTGACTACTTTAAACGATGGACACAAAACTCAGTCTTCCAAGGATTCAATATTTTGTAGCCTCAAATATTAATTGCTGACCAGTTTACGTTTTTTATCACAGATGTGCATTTCTTTCCTTTGTGACTTGAAGGTTAGTTGGGAACCTTGGGTTTAGCAAGTGGCTGCGACCCCCTCCAAGGTCCTGAGAGACGACTTGTTTATTTACAGTTCATTTTTGAGACTTAATTGCAATTGTAGAGGTTATTGATCTTAAAAGAGACACGAGCCATCGATCTCCTGCCGTCCCCCGATGGGTCAGGGACCGTTCTCCTCTCCCCATCGCAACAATCCTCTGCAGCAGGCCATGTGGCCACATGAATAAGAAGAAACTGGATTGATGGAAGGTGCTGTGTTTGTGTGTCGCATCACAATAGGTTGCGCTTTGTTTAAGGCATGGTCTTCTAGGATTGCTTGCCTCTGTGTTTGAAGAATGAGTTTCATGCTTAACCAGACTTTCAGGAAACGTATTAAATCCTCGTCCCATCAGTTAATCACACCCGCATTGTCTGTGTCTAGGGGGCAAAGTGCTTCCATCTGGTGTGTGTTGATGCAGATGGACGTCAGGACAGCACGTTGACGAGTGGAAGTGACGGATTCATCCCCCTCACCCTCTTGCCCCCACACCTTCTGTCACGCTGGCAATGTCAAGAGTCCCGAGTCCCCCTCCCCCTGCGGAAATGTCCAGCGGGCCAGTGGCCGAGAGCTGGTGCTACACACAGGTAAAGATGACCCCACAGAGAACGACGTTACCACTTATGGTTTGTCGACTCGATATATGTATATATATATATATATATTATGTGTGTGTTTACCCATCAGATCAAAGTGGTGAAGTTCTCTTACATGTGGACCATAAACAACTTCAGCTTCTGTCGTGAGGAGATGGGTGAGGTCATCAAGAGCTCCACCTTCTCTTCAGGGGCCAATGACAAGCTGAAATGGTGAGTGGGAAAGATGCTGCCTCGTTTCATTGTATTCAATATTTTAGTCTAAGAAACATCCAACGTGTTTTTTATTACTGGATTTCGGCCCTACACCCAATTTTAAAAGCAGAACCTTGGGAATCCTCAGATCTTTTTTTAATCAGATGATTAATACATTATTTACTCTATCCCCTTTACTAGAGATCTTAATTTCTGTACCTTTCACCACCGTCAGGTGTTTGCGAGTGAATCCGAAGGGCCTTGATGAGGAGAGTAAAGACTACCTGTCTCTCTACCTGCTGCTGGTCAGCTGTCCGAAGGCCGAGGTGCGCGCCAAGTTCAAGTTCTCCATCCTCAATGCCAAGGGAGAGGAGACCAAAGCCATGGGTGAGTCAGCTGGTTTCAACAAACTTTGAACTGTGGCCTTTAAAGAGTCACATCTCAGGAGAAACAGAAATCATTCTACGGACTTATGTCTTTGACTTCTGTGTCCCGGCTGTCTGCAGAAAGCCAGAGAGCATATCGCTTTGTCCAGGGGAAAGACTGGGGCTTCAAAAAGTTCATCCGGAGAGACTTCCTCCTAGATGAGGCCAATGGTCTTCTACCTGACGACAAGCTCACACTCTTCTGCGAGGTAGCTGCCTCTTCTTGTTACCTTTACTTGTTTCTGTGCAGTTTTTTTTAAAGCACCCAGAACGTTCTGTCTTGCGTCTCATTGAATCTCTCTCTCCTCCAGGTGAGTGTCGTGCAAGACTCAGTCAACATATCCGGTCAGAACACCATGAACATGGTGAAGGTGCCTGACTGCCGGCTAGCGGACGAGCTGGGAGGCCTGTGGGAGAACTCACGTTTCACAGACTGTTCCCTTTGTGTGGCTGGTCAGGAGTTTCAGGCCCACAAAGCCATCCTGGCAGGTACAAACATGAGTCACTTCTTTTTTCTTTGCTCTTAATTTGGCCTCTGACCGACGCTTAATCCCACTATTACTCACACATTAATGTTTTATCCTGTTAGTCCTAATCTTTCTCCACAACACTGCTTTCAGCTCGCTCCCCTGTATTCAGCGCCATGTTTGAGCATGAGATGGAGGAGAGCAAAAAGGTGAGCCCATGTCCCAGAGCTTTTTTATCCTTAGAAATAAATTTGTTTTGTTCCTGTGGCTCAACAGCTCAGACTTCCAGCGCTGTGTCGAAGGGTTAAAGTGAGTAAAGGATTGTGTGCTGTCGAACGGCCGCAACACAAAGCTGCTTGGTGAAACTGAATGATAGCGCGCACCTGAAATGAAATTGTTCCGCCGTACATGAGGGTCAGGATTCATCCTTCACTGACAAAGCCGCAGAAGCAGAGTATTGCTTTTTTTCCCATTTGTGCACGTGACTGCAAGAAATGAAATTGCAGGAGAAGCCGCTCAGATGTTTTTTGAAATCAGGGACGTCTGTAGATTGAAACATTTCAAAATACGGAGGGTTTTTCTCTGAAAACCAATGAATAGAAAACAGGAGAATAGAACCATTGTTTCTATTCAATTACTCATTGATAATAAAACCATTAAAAAAACTAAAATTAATAAAGTATTGATATTTAAAAAAACAACAAATAATTCAGATAATCGGCCTAATTGACACAAGATGGATTTTTGAGTCTTACTTTGCTGTTAGATGATTTCTTCCTGTTCGTTCTTTCTCCACGACAGCAGCTGAAGCTTGTGTCACGATGGAATGTTTTAATCTAACTCTGCTTTGATCTTTGTCTGTTGTCAGAACCGTGTGGAGATCAACGACGTGGAGCCCGAGGTTTTTAAAGAGATGATGTGCTTCATCTACACAGACAAGGCTCCCAACCTGGACAAGATGGCTGACGACTTGCTGGCAGCAGCTGACAAGGTAATTCATTTCCACATTAATATATTTGTTCACAAAGCATTCACGTGATGAAGAGGTTTCATGTCTCATCATCCTTTCATGTCAAAAAGACAAATCTGCGTCCTCCTACACCAGCGAGAACCTGGCCAGTGTATGTGGACGGTCATGTGATATACTGTGATATGCTTATCATTTCTTCATATCATTACAATATTACAATGTTACCACACATTGCAGATTCTCCTCAGGCTTTCAGCAAACACTGAGATTTCATATATTATAGATGTCAGCAGTGCACAAACCCTATCCCAGTGAACCATCAGGATCTCAAGAGACAGTTGGATGATTTCACACTGATCTCACTCCTCGGACTGTGACACCAAATGGGAGAACGACTTCTAGGCTCAGTGTCCCTCAGAGGTTGAGCACTGACATGTTGATTCTTCAGTCCTGCATCTTAAAAAACGAAATACACATTTGAGATTTTACGTCAGTCACCGTCATTTTGAACGCAAAGATCATTTCTGTGAATAATTGAATACCAATGAAGAAGAGAAGTATGTCAACTGTCTTGCATCCCCCCTCTGTTAGTATGCTCTGGAGAGACTGAAGGTCATGTGCGAGGACGCTCTGTGCACCAGTCTGTCTGTGGAAAATGCTGCTGAGATCCTCATCCTGGCGGACCTGCACAGCGCCGACCAGCTCAAAACCCAGGCTGTGGACTTCATCAACTAGTGAGTTCGCACACACAGAAAGGAGCTTTTCACCGCATATAACTGAGTTTCACAAACTGGCCTCCAGAGTCCACGGCACAGTTTGTCTCTGTCGATTTGTTACATCTCTCTCCTCTGTATCGCGGCATCATTACTGACTGTAGCTGGTCTCATCCTCTCCGCTCGTGTCTCTGTGTCACAGTTAATTTAATTTCACATGTCCCTTCCTCAAGTAGTCTGTCGGATATTATTAAATGCTGTTGAGGCTTTCTGAGGGATCAGGGCAACCTGACTCCTCGCTCGGTCTGCAGTCTCCTCCTCTGTTGACGCAGATGAACGTGTGATAAAACGTAACTCAGGGCATGTGTCAGCACGAACGTTCAGCTCACACATTTCTCCTCAGATTGCTTCTCTCCCCTCGCTACACATGATTCAGGATTTATATTTACAGAACTGAAACAACCAGTGGATTAGTGGTTTGACAGAGAAAATAATCACAGTTTTTATGAATGGATTAATCATCTCATCAATTATTTTCTGGTTGATTTAAAAATAAAATATAAGAAATCTTGCCTTATTAGTGATCTAAGGCCTGGGGAGTTGTAAGCGCAATAAATCTGAGTGGATCATGGAATATCTCATGGAAATAGTTAAGTTTTTGCTTTTTTAAATTGTAAATATTTTGATCTCTTTGGAAATGTCTTAAAATGATAAATCAAACAATCTGAACATTTCAGAAGGTTTAACTTCTAGACTTCTGACACCTGCATTTCTATGTCTTAAGTGATCTTTTGGATTTGGGCTTCAGGAAAATCTCATCTTTGCAGTGAAATAAGATAAACCGAATAACAAGAAGATTTTCAACTCCAATTTCTGTGAGATGCAGCTAATCCAAGGAGAAAAGAGTCCTAATAAATAAATAATACGCGTAAACGTACAAGAAATATTACAATTATAACGTGATGTAAATCTGATTAGTGTGGTTCGTCTATCAGTCACATACTCTCACACTCGACTGTCCGGCTCTGGAAACAGTCTAAATGATTTTCTTCAGACTTTTGTTTCCTCTCACATCAGCTGTGACAGCGATGAATCTCGGCTAATCGACTGATGACTTCACTTCAGTCTGGTTGTGCAATAAAGACGAGTGCAAACACGGCAGGAAAGAATTCATTACATGAGTCTCCAGAAACTCCAGGAGCTCCTGCTGAGAGTTAACTGGACTAGTGCCTTCAACAGACTCATTAGTTTAGCAACATAAGTACAACAGAAAAAAACACAAAGCAACACACACACACACAACCATCAAATAAATCGACGATCAACTGAGTCGCTGTTTTAATTTACACAAATTGATTTTCCCTGACTTTTGTCTCTGTGTCTCTCTTGTCCTTCAGCCACGCCGCAGAGGTGATGGAGACCGCCGGTTGGAAGTCCATGGTAGCGTCAAATCCTCACCTGGTGGCCGAAGCTTACCGCTCCCTGGCGTCCGCTCAGTGCCCTTTCCTCGGACCCCCACGCAAGCGCCTCAAACAATCCTAACAGCCTCACAGCAAGGCGTCAGCATACTCATACACACCTACACATACACAGAGACCCCCCCTCTCAAACACACAGGGACAAACCTTCCCCTCGCTGTTACCTACTACACTACCTACAGCCTCCCCCAAATCTCCCCCTTCTGCCCCATCCAAACCTGCTGTATTTAGTCTCTTCTAAAGATGGAGGGAAGAAGAAGAGGGAGGAGGAGGAGGAGGAAGAAGAGAGGGACAGGTGGGCTTGTGAAGTGGATGTTTGTCGTTTACAAAAGAATCACAACAATCTTCCCTTTTCTCCTCGGCTCTGGCATAGAGAGATCTGACGTTGTGCTCTTTTCCACGTGTGAAAGTGAAATCCTTCGACGTCCTGCTAGTTTCCACTTTGGAATCCGATCAGAAGGAAGAACTGGACACGAGAACCCAGGAGAGAACCGAGTGTCCGGAAATTTCAAAGGCTCAAAGGAAAAGTGCAGATGAATTAAAGACTTAAAAAAGTCTAAACTGTCAATTTTCTCATAAGGCTTCTTTTGGCGCAGTTCTTAGTGTTTGGAGTGGAGCAGCTGGAGAAGCCCCTGATGTTAAGGACATATGGGTCTGTGAGGGACTGAAGAGGAAGACGTGGGCCTGTTGGTTACAAACTAGAAGCCCCACCCCCCGAGAAAGACAACCAAGGGCTAATCACACACAAAAAAAAAAAAAAAAAACGCAGAAAATGGGACAAAATCAAAATCATTTTCCTAAATGACGTTGGGAAAACATTGCACTAAAGTCACAGGTTACACCTTGTCAACCCTTACCAGCAGTAATGTAGAAATACTGTAGGCAAGCACACATTGAAGCAAGCTTCATGGACTAAAGACGCAGCTGGACCTCCCAGAACAAGTTCCCTTTAAGAAGATTTATCAGCAAGTGACAAAAACAACTCAGACACTCCCGTACAGAACTCCTCAAGCTTCATCTGCGTCCGTTTTCATTTTTTAAAAACCCAGAAATAGAAGCCAGTGTTGAGAGGATGCAGAAAACGGCAACGCACAACTGGATGTCATTCTTGGGGAAATAGTATTTTGTGTGTGGATCTGTCTTTGTAGCCCTTGAGAGAAATTCAAATCCAAGGTGTCACCAGACAAACCAACAAGTGGAGGAGAAATAAAGTGTCCAGAAATAGTTACAAAATATCATTAGGATTCAGTCGGGCATGTCAATGTTCTTTTTATGACGAATTCCTTATTTGTTTTTTTTCCCCTCAGAACTGTCATTTCTATTTTTTTCATAGGAATTTGTACAGACACCAGTGTTATTGAAGCTGTGTAAAACAAAAAGCATTTTTGACCATTGAATTGAGAGATGAAAAGTGGACAAATGTTTTCTTTGCAGGCCTGAAGACTGAGGGGGAAATGAAATTGAAATGAACACGTTTTAATGTTCAGAAAAGACAGAATGTGAAACATGGAAAACCACATGAAATACATTTGAAGTTATCATTTGAACCCGCTGGAAAATGGTAATCGAAAGAAGGAACCATCGTTGTTTCTTTCCTGTAGATATCGCTGGTCATGAGAAGTGACACTTAGTTGTTGCCATTTTTTGTTCCCAAAAAAAAATAAACCACAACTTTTTTGTATTGAATGCAATGCAAACACTTGTCTGAGTATTTTTGCTTCACTTTTAGGGGAGCAGTCATGTCGTCCATCTTTATTTGGTTTATGCTTTCAACACAAGGGTGAAATTGAGTTAATGCCAAGCAGGTAGCATCTACAATCTACAGTTATGGTTTATTATGAACATTTTACTCATGTATGTGTGTGAACCTTCAAGTTGATGATAATCACGAGTTAACTGGAGCTCGGAACGTCGCCGTTATCGTCTTCATAATTGAGACAACACCAAGTTTCTGGCTCTTTACACGTTTGTTCAGGGGCCAGTTATTCCAGGGCCCCTGCTGAACTCTGGTCCCCCTGAAACATTCACCTCTGACCCGAAGCCTTGAACACACAGCGTCTTACTTACATCACAGTGGAAGGTGTAATCACAAGTCAAAAACTCAAAGATGTTTAGTTTTTAAACATAAGTTTCAGTTTTTCATGAGGAGCTGGACACAATTTTTTTTTTTTTCAACCTATTCCTGAAAAAACTGATTGAAATTGTCACATTTTAAAAGTTTCTAATCATTCTTCAACTAATCGTGTTCAACTACGCAGTGAGAATGATTCTAAATTACAGCAATAATCATATGCATGTCTTTAGAAAAGCAGGCTAATACAACTCTACAACAAGAAATATATTGTGCTAAAGCATGTAAATCACAGTATTTAGTAAAATGCAAGACTTGAAAATATATCGAGAGAAATGCTACATTTGACCATCCCTTCAAAAACGTCCACAACAGCTGGAAACTGGATCTCTCTCTGCGGAGTTATTGAGACATTAGTCTCCAGGGTCTGTTCAGCCAGTGGGCAGGATGGCCCCTGGGTTCTGGTCGCTGTAGTCAGGACAGACTTTCTGAACCAGCCTGTAGTCCGTGCTGTAGAAAGACACGTAGATGCAGAGGACCTGAAAGGGTTTGGAGCACATCCAGGTGACGTGGCTCTGAGTCTGCTCCTGGTCGCACGTCTTCGATGGGTCGTAGTTACACAGCATCACCTTCTTGTTGCGTTCCGTCTTCTCGTAGTCCACCCTGCAGCTGAACGTCTTGGAGTCTTTGGGGTTGACCACACTTTGGCGCTCCAAATCGAACTCCACCTCTTTCATGGGAGGGACAAGGCTGACGGAGACGTTGCCCACACCTGTGGAGTTGTGGCGGAAGTACACTCCAAGAGAGCCGTTCCCGTGGTCCACGATCTTCCCCATTATCAGCAGATTCAGTTTGACTGTCTTGATGTTTGAGTAAAAGTCTCCCCAACTAAACTTCCTGGAGAATTTAGAAGCTCTATGAACTTTCGTTATGGGCTGCAGCTTGATTTTTAAGGATGAGTTGGAGTGTGACTGAGAGTTTCCTCCGAGTATTTCCCAAAGTCCCTGCTTTGAAAGAGGGATGAAGGGGCTGATGGGAAGTTTGGTGTTTTGAACCAGACTCCGAGTTTGAGGCGCCTGGTTCTTCTGTGAAGAAACCTCCTGCTCTCTGTTGACCAAGGTGAAGACGCCATGATGACGTTGCCCAAGGACCAACTATAGACATAAAACCAAGGGAGGAATTAGACATGAAGTATAACAGGAAGTCAAATTCACTAAGAATATAGATTTTACAAAAACTTGCTGTGTAATTAAGAAAGAATGAAAATTTACATCAGGATGAAAAATAATTAAAGAACTTAAAATCCTGCTTCAATTGTTTTTTATTGTAGAAGTACAGGCACAAATAATAAACAGGTCTGTTAGAATCTTGGGAGTGATCTTCCTATACACACATTAAATGATAAAAATGCATCATATTTAAATAGTGTTTAATGAATTTCTGCATTGTAAAACTGGAAAATATAATATTTGAGCCCTAAAATGGAAAATATGGGTGGAAATAATTACATAAACAAATGTATTTAAGAGCCAGTTCTCTGTATCTAGTGGATACACTTTCATTTTCTGACATCTAATTCCGAGTTTTCTTTACTCACCAAACAAGAGATTCCCTTCAGAAGTATCCACGTGAAGCAGCGACCGGCGAGCAGCTTCATATTGCATCAAATCTTGAGAGAAGATCCATCCACTCTCACGTGAAGTTGGTTAAGAAAGAGTTGAGTTGAACAGATACATCCACATGAAACACCAGCAGGAGACTGTGTGTGTGTGTGTGTGTCTGTGTGTGTGTGTGAGAGAGAGAGAGAGAGAGAGAGAGAGAGAGAGAGAGCTGCAGCCTCAGCATCACAGCATCTCACGCTGAGTGGTTTTCTCAGATCTGGAGATTTTCTCCAGCTTTACTGTGCCTGCATTCTCTCTGCCTCACCCCCCCCCCCTCTCTCTCTCACACACACACACACACTCTCTCCTTTTTTAAGGATATGAAATGTTAACACTATCACACTGTATCTCCTCCCCTTCCCTCTTCCCCCTCACTGAAAACTCGTCCTGCATTAGTTTCTGGCTGATGAAAAAATTCAATTAACACTTAATGGAAATTCTTTTTTTCACCTCTCATGTTGTGTGCAAGGTTAAACAAACAGTGCCATCTTGTGGTCAGATAAAACAGTGCAGCCACATTTGATGAGACTGTCCCAACATTAACTACAGTTCATGACCCTCAGGAGAGGAACTTTCTAAATATCTCTTCACTCTCTTGACATTTTCTCCTGAGAAATTGTCTCCCTTCTGGTCTCAGCCTGATCTTATACTCCTTTATCTTACTCCGCCAATTTTTACCTGTCTCAAATATCTCCAAATAAAAAGATGATTTATTTCTCAAGAGTTAAAGAAAGGACAAAAAAAAAAGTGGTGAGCAACAAACGTTCCTTTGTGTACGATTAAGCTGAGAATCCACCTACGTTCAAATGTTATGTCCGACCTGACTGACCCTGGTGCTTTATATCAAGTGATAAGTGAGTCTACATGTGTGAACTTCAATACACTCCAGGTGATGTCTCATCTGTATCATACTTCATTCAGAGTTTCTCCCTCAGTCATGAGTGCTTCATGCTGTCGTTCTCTCTTCTGGAGGAATATCTGCAGTGACCACATCCTCAAAAACCATAAACCAACTAAAAGGTGCAAGGTTCTCTGTTAGAGACAAAATACAGACTCCAGGATTGTCCTTCTTAAGTGCCACTGATTTCTTACTTCTAAACTGAATGTTTATGGAATAACCTTGACACTTCTTGACCCGGGAAGGTTTGAATGCAGGAGAGAAACCTCGCACAGGAAAGACAGGTTGCACTAACTTATCCAAAAGGCCCATCCCTGAATATTTAACAGATTTTTCATTGATAGTTATGAAATGGTTGACTGAATTCAGATGTTACTGTTGTTATTGTATGAGGACTAACATAAGAATCAGCAGTGATGGAGACGCAGCTTTTGTTCTGCCATTGCATTGTTTGTATTTATTTGATTCCCGTCTGACAAGAACTGCACTGACCTCAGGCACCTTTAAGATCTGAATGATTGCTGACAACTGAGATATGTTTTGAAAGGGAGTGTCAAAAATGCATGAACCCCAATAAAAGGGATTTATATTTATAAATTATTTTATTCTGCTCTATTTATTATCTTTTGTTTTGCCGGAAAAATGTTTTAAACAGTGCTTCCTGATCTCAAGTCTTTTACTTTTGTCTCTGTGTTGTTTGTAATGATACCTGTTGAACAGTGACTGAGGAAAATGTGCTTTACAAATAAAACTGCCTTTTCTTTGCCTTATTCAGCTGACGTCCACTGACCTGCTACAGTTTCACTATGAATAGTATAATTTTGCTGTTATCATATGTTGATGTGTTTATGGCCACTGACACAGCTCAGGAGGAAAGGGGCCCACTGAGGCTGCATGTGCACGGGGCCCAGGTTTCACTGGCAGCCATTGTGTCATTTTACAAATAGTTTGCAGGCTTTATACAAGGTTGCGCTCAAAACAGCATGGCACAGATTCAGCAGGAGGATTTGTCACCGTAACAGATAGCATCTCTATGCGGGACCATTGTCTTATGCAATTCTTATCTAATCAAAAGCAATGTTCACTTAACCATTACTGTTTTTAAAAAAAAAAGAGTTTACTTCCTTAACATTAAGTGTTGGATTGAGTTAATTTTCCTCATTGAGATGAAGGTTAGGAGCCGGTCACACAAAGAAGAATGTGTGGGCGAGGAAGTAAATA